TTTTTTTTTTTTTTTTTTTTTTTTTTTTTTTACCGGGGGAAAAATTTGGCGGGAAACGTTGAAACCCCGAAGTAGACTGATTTCACTCGTTTTGTTCATTCCTTCGTTCGTTCCTTCGTCGTGTCAGTGTGATCCGATCAGCGGCGTGATCGCGATTGGACTGCATTTGGACGTCTTTACGACGACGCCGAAGCATCCGACGTAATCAGCGAGCAGAGTCACAGGCACTCAAGACACAAAATATGGCTGTGTATCTTTCCATGTCCTAGGGGCAGATTCATCCTCATTTTGCACTTTTGGTGAGTAGTGCAGCGATGCTCTATATACAGTAATAGTATTAGCTGCTCAGCTGTGGTTCTGTTGAGTTTACGCCGTCAGCAGCGGAGGAGGGAAGGCAGGGCAAAAAAATAAATAAAAAAATAAAGGGCATCACAACGTCGCTACGGGGGACGTTACGCGACTTGTTTTTTTATTTTATTTTTTCAGCAAAAATAAAACAAAACAAACGTTAGCTCTTCTCAGTCGCCTCCTAAATTCTCATTGTTGGTCGAGATGCTTTTGTTGACGTCACAAGCTAACGTTAGTCTGGTGTGGAGCAGTCATGTCCTATCGCCAGCACCCTTGAGGAAGCTTGGAAGGCGCTGGAGACGTCCCATCCCGATCCCAACCAGCGACGCGATTGGCAGCAGGTATGTATCGAGTCCATACATTCCTACACATCCATCCTCGGGTCCTCACGGCCGCCACCTTGTTATTATGCATCATGCGACGCCAGGCGATGACCTCAATAACCATCCTCCTCATATTTCTGCCTGTATATTACGCAGACCCGGGCATTATACGGCACTCATTCGTGCGGTTGCCCAGTGGGAACTGTGGGACGGTGGGACGACGAGTCGGGCTATTTTCGATGTAAATGAATTTTTGCGTGAATTGTCGAATCATACTTTATTTTGGATTTTGGATTATTGACCGACTCGTGTGACACCTGTCGGGACAGAGACGCGGTGCGCCTTGGCTGTGGAATGCATCATCTATGCCATAGCCATTACCAATCTATTGCGACTGCCGCCGTCTGTACTGAAGGGTGTCCAACATTTCCTCACTGTACACATCCCTATCACCCAGATATACGTTATCCCTTTTGTGCCCAAGGACGCTATCAGAACTGYATGATGCCGCACTGTGATGAACGTCCTGCTGTGTTCTTTTGACATGTGGACAACATCATGATGTCCTCTGTCAGCAGGACTGTTTCGATGGGATGGTTCGTGCTAGCCGTCCTGCTGAATGCTGTGCTGGCGCAGCTCTCCTTGCTTGGGTATCCTTGTGAACATCCACGTCATCCTCACCGTAGCTGTCCTATCTGCCGAGGTGGGGACAGTTAAAGAGAAAAAAAGGAAAAAAAGAAAAAGAAAAAAAGAGAAAATAAGAAAATAAGAAAGGAAAAAAAAAAAAAAATGTTCATCTGTGGGATGTGTTATTTGCTTTGTGACAATTGGATTATCTGTGGGAGGTTTCCTCCTCCTTTTCTTTACCTCTAAGGCTTTGCCTTTTGGCTGCGTGCAAGTGGGGGGTCCTTGTGACACACGGGGATGGCGGCAGCCAGCGCTCAACCTGTCATCCATCCACGTGGCTGGCCTTGTACGTAAAAGGGGTGATGAACAGGTGGGGCTTTCCTTCCTTCCTTCCTTCCTTTTCCTTTCCTCCCTTCCTTCCTTCCTTCCTTTTCCTTTCCTTCTTTTGCTTTTTGTCGCCTCCGCGCTCTGATTTACAGTGTGACAATATATACGTCATCTAGGATTGTTTTTAATGATGTCCCGGTACGAATTGCTAACGGATTCGAGAAGGCAGAATAGGAATACCAACTTCTGGATGTCGAACAAGGCCATCTGGTGTGTATAGATATGATATGTATCTGGGAACTTTGTTTGATTTCTATGCAGACAAGAAGGTTTTGACATCCTGGTTGGTCTTGTCCCGTCGTTCGGCCTGTGTGTGTTGGGGCGGTGCTTGCATGGGGGACTCGTCATCTGGGATCCGTTTTGTTGGCCCCTGTTCTGTTTTATTTGGCTGTTCCCTTCCTCTCTTCTTTGCGTCTTTGCCTTTTGGCTGTGTGCAAGTGGGTCGATATGACACACGGGGGTGGGGGCAGCCGCCGCTCAACCTACATCCACGTGGGCGGCCTTGTACGCAAGAGGTTCTGAACAGGGGGAGTTATAAGGAAGAAGATAAAAAAATGAATTCAGTTTTTCCTGTTTTTCTTTCTTTTTTCCTTTTTGTTCGCATTTGCGCTCTGATACTCTTGTGACAATATATGTACATAGACGAAAAGAGAGAGAGAGAGAGAGAGAGAGAGAGAGAGTGAGAGTGAGAGAGAGAGAGAGAGAGAGAGAGAGAGAGAGATGCTCTTACTACGGATTCGAGAAGGCGAATCATCGCGCGCGCACACACACACACACACACACACACACACAGAGAGAGAGAGAGAGAGAGAGAGAGAGAGAGAGAGAGAGAGTTTTGCTGATTGATTCTCTCTGTGTATGCAGTGTGGACGCAAAGAGGCAGGTGATCAAGAAGGAGGTACCTTTGAGCAGCCAGCTTGGAGGGGAGAGGGTACTTGGGGACCGATTCCCGCGATCGATTGGCAAATCGGGCTGGGCGCGCTTTGCCCAGCGGCCGCTGGAATCGGAGCAAGTTTGGCGGGAGTCATGGCGGCAAGCAACTCCTCAGCAACCGACGACGCTGCTGTTGCCACGTGGAAGGATAAACCCGAGGAGGTGGGTGGGTGTCTTGTTCACCACAGGTTTCTGGTCAACGGGGATGTCCAGATTCATTACGTAGAGGCGGGCGATCCCGAGGGCGAACTAGTTGTCCTCCTCCACGGGTTTCCAGAGTTCTGGTACAGCTGGAAGTCCCAGCTCCTCCCACTTGTCCAGGCCGGCTTCCACGTGGCAGCACCAGATTTGCGCGGGTATAATCTCTCCCTCTCCCCCCCCAATTTATCCGATTATACCCGAGAGAAGGTCTTGTCCGACGTGGTCTTGCTCATCGACCAGCTAGGCGGCGGGAAGCCTGCCAACGTGGCAGGTCATGATTGGGGTGGCCACGTGGCATGGCTGCTCGCCTTCGATCACGGGGATAAAGTCAAACGGCTGGCCGTGTTGAATATCCCCCATCCTCTCTCGATGCAGAAGTACTTGAAGACCAGTCTCAGGCAAATGAGGTGGAGCTGGTACATCTTCATGTTCCAGCTACCCTACGTTCCAGAGAAGATACTGGGCTCAGGGGGACTGATGAAAATCTATCGGGGTATAAAGGGAATGAGCGAGGAAGATGTGCAGAAGCACCTGGACGTATTCTTGTCACGGCCGGACGGGCTGGCAGGGCCGCTCAATTACTACAGGGGAATTTTCAGGGGCAATTGGGAAAGAAAGCCAGCCTCGTCGGGGGCAGAATACAAAGGTAAAGAGGGGTACACGGACAGGCCTGTGCTTTTCATCTGGGGGCAGGAGGAGAGGTATTTCGTTGAGGACTTATCCGTCCTTCCACAGGCCAAAGTGCCTAACGCGAAGGTGCTGAAAATTCCAGGAGCATCGCATTTTGTTATGTGGGATGCACCTGACAAAGTCAACGCTGCGTTAATCGACTTTTTCACGAAGGAGGAGGGAGGAGGAGGAGGAGGAGGAGGAGGAGGAGGGGGAGGGGGAGGAGGAGGAGGGAATATTATGTCTTCTCTTTGACGTAGAGATCGTTTTGTTATTCGGAATGCAGCAAATGAAGTGAACGTTGCGTTGATAGAATTCTTACGGAGGAGGGAGGAGGAGGAGGAGGGAAGAGGAGGAGGAGGAGGAGGAGGAGGAGGACGAGGACGAGTAGGAGGAGGAGGAGGAGGGAAATTTCTTTCTGCTCTTCGACGCTGACAGTGCCTATCATAGGTGCGGCTAAGGTAGCGGGAAGGGGAGGGAGCAGACTGCTCATCAACTTAGCCACACGGAAGGTATTGATAGAGAGTACTAATCTCTCTCTCTCTCTCTCTCACACACACACACACACACACACACACACAGTTGGTAAAGGTACAGAAGCAGGCAAACGTGCCTACCGACTTGTAGACATACATACATACATGCGACATCTCTCTCTCTCTCTCTCTCTCTCTCTCTCTCTCTCTCGTTTGCTAAATGTAGAGAAGCATGCACACGTGCGTGTCGACTTGTAGACGTCCATACAGTGCATACACACATGCACGCAGGCAAAGGTGAAAGGAAGCGGATGATTGGGCGGATATCTTAGGGTTTTTTTCCGATGGAAATGCCACGTGGGAATAAAGCCGGTGGACGCGGAGGGGAATCGTGTGATGAATGGAAAACACAAAGAAAATAAAAGGGCAGGGGGGGAAAAAAGAAAAAGGAGTCTGATCAATGCTTTGAATCTGTTTTGTTTTGTTTTTTGAAAGGTCCACGGCCTTGAGATATCATCACTGAGCTGAGCGGCCCCAGGTAAATCGGAAATCTGATCGCGGAAATCTCATCGCATCTGGGTTTGAGCCCGCGCTGATTTTTGTTTTTTTCTCCCTTCTCCTTTTGTGGTTTGGAGAAGGGAAAATTTGTCTGGCGCCCCTGTAATTTCCGTTATGTTGCGTACGGCCCACTTACCCTGTTGTGCAATTGTTTGGGAATTTTTTTGAAATGCGCCTCCGACTTGAATTTATTTGCGGTATGCCCCTTGGATTTATTTGCGGTATGCCCCTCCGACAGCCGACTTGGCCTGTCGTGCCGCAGGGGGCTCTGAAGTTTGCTGCACACCCCTGTCAGTGACGGGTGCATCTTTCCAGCATGCCCCTTTGCCTGTCACCTCCACCATCTCTTGGGCCGCTGCCGGGATGCTTGGCTATGGTTCTCACGGCATGGGCACGACGCCTATTTGAGTTGCTAAGCCTGGAAGGCTGGTGCTTCGTTGTTATTTTTATAATATGCCTGCCATAGCGCGTTTGGGACATTCTGACATGTTCTTCTTCTTCCCTTATCTTGCTTATTCAGAATCTTCTTCTTCTTTCTTTCTCGTCAACTCGTACGGACCTCTTTCTCGTCAGTTTTCCTGCCGTCCTGTCGTTTTGGTTGGTCATGCGTGTATGGTTGATTGATTAGGCCTGTTCGGGCCGACTCTGGTTGTGCTTTGACCTTTTGCATGTGACATCGGTGATGCTGTGTGTTGTCCACTCGCCATTCCCCTGGCCCTAGGAGGGGAGCTAACGGGGCCTAATGGAAATTTGGAACCGGTTCTGGTAGGGGCATATTGAACATATTTAGGGGGTTTTCAAAAACTTCAATTGTTGTCAAGGGGCGGGACAGGGTAAGTCGGCCGTCAGAGGGGCATACTGCAAATGAATGGAAGTTTGGAGGGGTTTTCGTTTAAGTTTCGACTGTTTCTCAATTTATGTGTGTCATCCATGCGCAGGGGCCATGGTAATCTTTTTTTTTTTCTTTTTTTTTTTCTCTTCTTTCTTTTGTCCTCTACCCACCACTACTCCTAAGCCTACACAGGGGACCCCTGCAAGCATAGCTACCTCTCACTATTAAACCACCAGTACCTCGCTCAGCTATCGGCCGCGGGCCTTCCCGTATACGCGCTGCAGCCTTAGGGGGGTCGGCCAAGGGAAGGTCCGGTTGTAGCCAGAAAGCCGGGCCCCGCTTCTGTAGGGACGACGCAGTAGACAAAAAAAAAAAAAAAAAAAAAAAGAA